TGAAGAAGTACAGCACATCAGTGAAGGGACGACTGAGACTGATTCCAGCTGTGAGGAACTGCAGAAAGGCTGAGTAAGTCCAGATGTGATTAACATTATAAATCAATGTAAAGTTGAAGTCATCAGTATTAGAGTAAAGATTATATTGTTTAGTTCTTAACAAAGAACGTCTTTTCACATGTTTTTTCATTCTTAATAATTTTGATTTATAAACCAGTTTACAGACGAGTCCATTCAAATACCACCAGAGAGAGAGAGAGGGAAAAGGAGAGAGCTTCTTTACTAATGAAGGTTCATTTAGTGTAGCAGAGCCTTTCCAGTGAGCCATGATGCACAGTAGCAGCACCCTGACTGTGTTTGACCTGAATGTAACAGAACCTTAATTAGTGTCATTGGTAACACCTGTGTTTACCCTCCTGTTTCATATCAAAATGGCTCCTGTGGAAAAGGTTTATTATACTATTATTGCAATAGGAGTCATTTAACTCAGCGGTCCCCAACCACCGAGCCGCGGACCAGTACCGGTCCGTGGGTCATTTGCTACCGGGCCGCACAGAAAAATAAATAAATAAATATTTCATTGATGGTCAGAGTCTGAAAGATGTTTTATTTTGAAAAATGACCGGATTCTCCCCCAATTACATCCGTCTGTGCATCTTCACACAGGTAAAGACAGGTAAAGACGCACGTCTTGGTCACGTGATATGTTACCCCAGTTCAGCCCTCAAGCTAGCAAAAATGAGTAAAAAACAAACGTCTTTGGAAAGGGGAAAAGGCCCAATGAGGAGACAGAAGAAAAGCCTACAACTTCCAAGAAAAAGAAAGCTGCATTTAAAAAACAATATCAGGAGTCCTACTTAAAATCAAAACAGTTCAAAACTGCTTCGGCACATGGAGACCAAGCACCCTACATTAAAAGACAAGCCTTTGGACTTTTTTGAAAGAAAAAAACGGGGACAAGACGGACAGAAGCAAGTACTGATGGCCACCACATCAACAAATGTGAGTGCGCTGAGAGCATCATTCTTAGTGGCTAACCGTATTGCTAAGGCAAAGAAACCTTTTACTATTGGTGAAGAATCCTGGCCGCCGCTAAGGACGTTTGCCGTGAACTTCTAGGAGAGGCCGCAGTTAAGAAGATAGCACAGGTTCCTCTTTCGGCTACAACCGTCACTAGGCGAATTGATGAAATATCAGAGGACATTGAGAAACAATTGTTGGAGAGGATTAATAAATCACTCAAACACCGACCACTCAAAGCACTTTTACACTACATGCCACATTCACTCAGTGATGGCAAAGTCCATCGAACAGAAACTAACATTCATACACATTTACACAGCGGCATCGGGAGCAATTTGGGGTTCAGTATCTTGCTCAAGGATACTTTGACATGTGGCACCAGGAGCCGGGGATCGAACCAACAACCTTCCGATTAAGGAACAACCCGCTCTGCCTCTGAGCCACAGCCGGCCCAAGACAATATTGCTTGTTTATGTGAGATATATATATCAGGATGATGTGCATGAGGATATGTTATGTGCATATCTTTGCCAACTAACACCACAGCCGCAGAACTATTCAAGTCTGTGAATGATTACATATCAGGAAAACTGAATTGGTCCTTTTGTTTCGGCATATGCACGGACGGAGCTGCTGCTATGACTGGACGGCTTTCTGGATTAACTGCCCGGGTTAAGGAGGTTGCACCTGAATGTGAGTCTACGCACTGTGTCATTCACAGGGAAATGCTGGTTAGCCAAGAAATGACTGCGGTCAAGCCAGCCGTCACTCTGATCTCCGTGGTCAAATCAGCCGCACTTAAATGTCGAGTGTACAAGTATTCTCAGCGTTATGGTAAATGCGGAGAAACAGCGTATTTACTTCCGGTTTTCAAAATAAAGGTATTAAGAACAGTAAGCTATAATTCGAACCTACATTTAAAAAAAAATATGTTACATTAAAGTGTTTCATGCCCCCATGATGAATAAAAAACACTTAATATCACGTATCTTTACTGCACAGTGTGGAGAAATGCCAAAATAAAAGTCCCATATTTATGCCTCCAGATTGCATATTTTCATATATATGAGGTACTGTAAAAACACATTGCTCAATAATTCCTGGCTACTGATGATATATCTGACTTCTACTCATATAAGACTACACACACACTCAATATCAAGCATTTTTACTGCACCAATGTGGAGAAATTCAAGTATAAAAGTCCCATATTTATACCTGGAGATTGCATATTTGACCATATTTGAGCTACTGTAAAAACACTTTGCTTAATAAGTCCTGGCTATGGATGGTGTATTTGACTTCTGCACATATAAGACTACAAGCATACTTAATATCAAGCATTTTTACTGCACCAATGTGGAAAATTTCAACAATAAAATTCCATATTTGTATCTCCAAGTGGCATATTTTCTTACATTTGAGGTACTGTAAAAATACTTGGCTCAATAATTCCTGGCTATGGGTGATGCTTTTTCATTATACTTCAAGAATGATAGGGTTAGGACAGGAGAACATTGAGAAATGCATCCTTATAGTCATGGCTGCAACACATGACAATGGCAATACAGATTTTTATTTTAAGGAATAATAAAACTTTGATAATTTGGTTGAAGCCTGCTTAAGAGATGATTTCTGAATTTGGTGTTTTGCAGTTAAAGGTAATTATTTCCCCTTTTACAGATTCAGTGTGATAGCTGTTGCAGGTGGTTCCACGTACAGCGCCTGCAAATGGACACAGCAGAGCTGCAGAATACCAAGAATGTGGACTGGAATTTAATTTTGAGTGAAAAGTAAACAAATTAGGATTGAGTAGGATTTTGTGTTTAGTGTTTAGTTTTTGATGACTTTATCATCACTTTCTTATAACATGTTATTAAACATTTGTGTGAAATGTTGTCATGACCATTGACCACGGAGATCAGAGAGACGGCTGCTTGACCGTCACCTGAACTTAACAGTGTATTGAATGATGTCGTTAAAGTTATTAACCACATCAAAGCACATGCCCTTAACTCGACTGTTCGAGCAGCTTTGTGAGGAGATGGACGCAGAGTACAGACGCCTTCTCTTACACATAGAAGTAAGATGGCTATCTAAAGGGAGATCGTTGGCCAGAGTGTTTGATTTACGAGAGCCGCTGCAGAGATTTCTTTCAATTAGCAGGGATTTTGGAAGAGACTGAGCCTGAACCGCCATTCTCCCAGCTGGTGCATGATCACCTGTCTTTGCTTTTAAAAGAGTTCGAGCGGTACTTCCCAACAACAAAAGACCCACGAACTGCGAAAGAATGGATCCGAGATCCATTTGTGAACAACCCAGGTGAATCGAGCATGTCCGTGCCAGAAGAAAATCAACTGCTGGAGATTGAAAATGACGGTGGCCTTAAAACTATGTTTGAGACAACAACTCTGCCGCTGTTCTGGATTAAAGTCAAAGCAGAATATCCTGAGATCGCCACAAAAGCACTGAAAACCCTGCTTCCCTTTCCAACATCCTATCTTTGTGAAGCGTTGTTTTCTGCAGTGACAGAGACCGAAACAGAATTACGGAATAGACTGGACACAAGGAACACACTTCGGGTGTCATTGTCTCCCATTACCTCTAGATGGGACCTGCTCGTTGCTGAGAAACAAGCTCAGGGCTCCCACTAATTCAGCGTAATGGCGAGTTGTAGTTTTATGCACTTTATTATTATTATATTATTATTATTATTTGTTTTTATGCCGTTCGTATCATTTTATTTCGTTGTATTCATCCGTCACACCTTGAAGGCCGGTCCATGAAAATATTGTCTTACATGAAACCGGTCCGTGGCAGGAAAAAGGTTGGGGACAGCTGACTGAACTAATTCAATGGGAGACTAAAAGCTGCTGGAGCAACATAATAAGATTCATCTGGAGCTGCATTAGTGAGATTTTCACAGTACAATAACCATCTCAGAAAATATCACAGTTTAAAGGTTTACAGTATTACACAGTTAGTAATTATCAGTTACAGTACAGTAATGAAAACAGAAGGATGAGTTGTTTTTGTTTGTTTGTTTGAGGAGTTCAAGTTTCAAACCACAGACCTTGTGATCAATGACTGACCAGCTGAGCTACAGCCGCTCATGTTAATGTGCTTTGTGATGCAAAATGCACAAAAGTATATTTTTATAATAAAATGTCAGATTTTATTATACTTAAATTTATATTCTGTCATCACAGACTTTCCTTATGTGGACTCTCAGAGACTCACTGTGAAGTTGTGGCCTCAGCTCTGGAGTCCAACCCCTCCCATCTGAGAGATCTGGACCTGAGTGACAACAACCTGAAGGATTCAGGAGTGAAGCTGTTGTGTGCTGGACTGGAGAGTAAAAACTGTAGACTGGAGACTCTGAGGTCAGTTCATGTATTTTGCTCTTGTACAGTGTATATCTGATATGTGTAATTTATCTTTGTTTGCCTCTGATCCCCAGTAAAAACATATTCTGAGTTAGAGAGAAATCTGGATTTTGTGTTCTGACTCAACCAGTAAGCAGGAGCATAAATAATACACTGTATTTGTACAGGAAGGTACTTGGTTACATTTAAGATTAAGAGAGAATATGCAGCTCTCTTTGCTCAGTGCACATTTGATCCAGTTATAAAGAAGATTGAGGATGAAGCTCACAGTCAGTGTGTGTTGATGGAGATGACAGTGGTGATGAGGATAGTCTAAATGTGTGAGATACATCAGAACTGCTGGTTTAAAGAGGTTTGTTTTTACTTAAATTATTATTTCTGTCATAAATTCTTATTTATTTGATATTGGCCTTTTTGGAATTCTGTAGAAAACATCTGTCTTAATATTATTAATAAAAGGACCCATGGTTGTTATGAATCAGAAGAAACAGAAGAAAATGGAATAACAACATGTCTGATTTCATCATTATTACAGACCTGACTGACAGCATGTTATTGATCTCTGCTGACATCAATTTATTCTTTATTCAGACTGAGTCGCTGCAGTTTGTCAGAGATCAGCTGTGATTATCTGGTCTCAGCTCTGAAGTCCAACCCCTCCCATCTGAGAGAGCTGGACCTGAGTCACAACAATCTGCAGGATTCAGGAGTGAAGCTGCTGTGTGGTTTTCTGGAGAGTCCACACTGTAGACTGGAGACTCTGAGGTCAGTTCACTGACTCTCTGTTACTGTTGTAGATCTGATATGTTTAATTAACAATTGAACCTAATTTATGTTCATACATAACTTACATCCATAAAGTTGTAACGTTGCTTTTGTTCATATTTTAATGTTTGTTGAACTAAATTTAGTCTGCAGTCACAAAGACTTGTGTTTGTTAAAGAAACTGTAGAAAATGTCCACTGTTAGTTGTTAAAGTAAATGAATGTTTATAATTGTTGGTAAATGGTCACATCTGGATACAGAAGATCCTCTGAACTAATATTTGTTTTAAACTGATCAAGTTTACTGAAGGAGAAATATTTCTTTGGTTTCTGTTGATTTCAATGTGTTTTCATAAATAATGTCTGATCATTGATATTGATCCTTCAGAACACACACACACACACACACACACACACACACACACACACACACACACACACACACGTTATTGATCAGTGTTTTTTTTTTTTACATTATAATACAAAATGATAAATATAATAAATAAATAATCTCTATTTCAACTATCAGACAATAACAAATATATTCAGTATTTGTTTTTTCCAACATTGTTATGAAGCTATATGATGTTTATACTGACTGAATAGTTTAAACTGAAGATGCTTTGATTTTATGACTCCACTATTCCTAAAATAATGATTGTAGATGTCTTTTGTTCACATTTTCAAAACTTGTACATTCTAAACCTTCTTCAGCTCTGAACAGATTATTAAACACTGAATGATTTCAAACAGGAACATTGTCTTCTAAACTTACATCTTTTATTCTTTATTCAGATTGAGGGGCCGCAGTTTGTCAGAGATCAGCTGTGATTATCTGGTCTCAGCTCTGAAGTCCAACCCCTCCCATCTGAGAGAGCTGGACCTGAGTCACAACAATCTGCAGGATTCAGGAGTGAAGCTGCTGTGTGGTTTTCTGGAGAGTCCACACTGTAGACTGGAGACTCTGAGGTCAGACACCATTTTTTCCTTCTGTGCTGAGATTAATATGATGTGAAAGTTGTGGTGACAGTAAAGTGCAGACATAAGGCTGATATTATACTGATCCACACTGAGTATCTTAATGCTAAAGTCTGTTTTCTTCTTCAGTGGTTTAGTCCATTGACTGTGGCAGAGCAATGTTGAGCTCCACATTTAAAACCTGAATATAACAAGAAGAATCTACACTGGATAATTCACTCTGAACCTCTTAAACTCTTGATTTGCATCTTATATTAACATCATGTTTTTAAATGAATTGTAATAAAAATACATAAATACAATAAATAAATAAACTCTATTTCAACTATCAGACAATAACAAATATATTCAGTATTTGCTGTTTCCAACATTGTTATGAAGCTATATGATGTTTATACTGACTGACTAGTTTAAACTGAAGATCATTTGATTTTATGACTCCACTAATCCTAAAATAATGATTGTAGATGTCTTTTGTTCACATTTCCCCAAAATTCATCCTTTTTTTCCTTTGACAGCTTTGTGATCTTCAGTTGAATCTTCAATCAGTTTCTGTGTGTTTTTCTTTGTGTTTGGCTGCACAACATGAGTTTGTATAGATGGAGCCACTGGTGGAGCTGGCAGAGGTTAAGAGCTGAAGTCACTACGTCTTTATTGAAGCAGCAGCACGTTGTCATTAATATTAATGAGAGCTCTTTTTACCTTTTTGTATTTTACAGTTTTCAACCTGCTGTTGGGTTCAGGTGTTTGGAGTTTCCATTTTCTAAACTTGTACATTCTAAACCTTCTTCAGCTCTGAACAGATTATTAAACACTGAATGATTTCAAGCAGGAACATTGTCTTCTAAATTTAAATCTTTTATTCTTTATTCAGATTGTGGAACTGCAGTTTGTCAGAGATCAGCTGTGATTATCTGGTCTCAGCTCTGAAGTCCAACCCCTCCCATCTGAGAGAGCTGGACCTGAGTCTCAACAAGCTGCAGGATTCAGGAGTGAAGCTGCTGTCTGATCTTGTGGAGAGTCCACACTGTAGACTGGAGACTCTGAGGTCAGTAGAGGGTTGGAGTCAGTCCATGCTGGTTTCAGCAGTATTGTACTAAACACAGTTAGTATCAAAGCAAAGATCCAGTATTTGCTGCTTTCCTCAGTGAAGCTGTGAGAGGAGGATGGTGACAGACTTCAGGGTTGGACAGAAAGACAGAGAGAAACTGTAACAATGATTATTGACATCTGTTGTCTGTCTTCTTCTCTCCTCAGCTGGAAGTGATCTCAGTCAGAGTGTGAGTGGTGAGGAAGGAGGTTTTGTTGGAGGATCAGCTGTGTCCTGATGATCCAGAGAGGTTGAAGCAGCAGCATCAGCTCTGACTGGCCATGTTACTGGGAGGTAGAGTGGAGAGGAGAGCTTCATCCAGCAGTGACTGACAGAGGAATCACAACCAGTGGAGATGACTCTCAGTGCTGCAGTCTGAACTGCTCTGAGATCAGCTCCACTGTCAGACACAATGTCAAGTCCACCATCATCCCTGTGTGTTCCTCTGGATGTGACAGAGTATCATCAGTGTATCTGGACTGCTCTGCTGCTGCTCTGTCCTTCTACACAGTCTCTGCAGACACACTGAGACTCCTCCACTCCTTCTGCTCCACACTCAACCACCTCCTCCACCTCCAACCTGGACTATTGTATATTCTCAAACTGCTTCTACACATTTGTTCTGTTTATGACAACGTAACTGTAGATCAACACTTTAAATTTATTTTAAGTTTTGTCTTCTGTTCCAGCTCCACCTTGTGGAAAATTAATTTCCACGTTATACTTCTAATTCATTTTGGAAGTTGATGTGAAAAATCATAGAAAAAAATAAGGTACAGAAGATCTTGCAGATTTATCTGTGTGCCCATTTTCTGTTCATCTGTCAATGCGCAGTCGCTCCGATCATCCTCCCAAACGCTCAGTGGATGTGATAAAGTAGTCTACTGTTACTGTTGGGTTTTTGCTCTATCCACACAACATAGTGACTAAAATCATCAGTACAACCATTGATGGCTATGCATGGCTTCTGCTTATCATACAAATCCATATGCCATAGCGCTTTGGGACCTTTGTTGTGGGAATGCCTGTGAATCAGACGCCATTCCTGTCTGTGTGTAGGGCACCAAATGGGGAGGGGTCACCACCAAAACAGTCTGATCATTAATCGTAATAATCATAATGTTATACACAGGACGCAGCGCCTGGTTTAATCAAGTCTTACTGTCATTTATGTATCTCTGTCCTCTCCTCTGTAGGACAGCCAGCAGGACTCACAGGCTGCATCACAGGTCTCTTAGACTTAACAGTTCAACTTTAATCTTGAAACATCAATTTTATTCTCAATATTTAGATTTTATTCTCAATATTTAGATTTTATTCTAATATTTAGACTTTATTCTCAATATTTTGATTTAATTCTCAATATTTTGACTTAATCTTCCACTTTTGTTTTTACTCGTGTGGCCCTCATACTCTTTTGTAAATACCAGACTTTTCTCATAGTTTAACAGATAATTGTTTGTAACAAGAAGATAAAACCTGTAGAAAGTTTGGATTTAATCGAAGTTTATATATATATCTTTTAAAATATTTTATTTTTCTAGTACATCCAAACAGATTGTGTTATTGCAGTTATTGGTGATATTTATCTGTTTTCATTTTGATATTCGATCCATTGTTAATATAAAAATATTGATTAGAGTTACTTAAAGTTACTGAAATATCTGGATTTTGGTGAGAAGTCAGTGCTGTGTTGAACATTGGTCACACATTGAACACCAGAACATTTGTTTTTTCAAAGTTTTTTCTTCTGACATGAAATCAATCAACAAACATGTTTATAATTTATATAATGTGTCATTATTAGTGATTATGATCATGTATGTGTATATATTTGTTCTGTTTTCTCATATTACATCAAAAACAAAAATCTGTATATTAAAATCACATCTTACTTCTGATTGATTGACCTGAACAAAGTGTGGATTCAATCAAAGCTTTACTGTAGTTTCTCAGTTTGCAGTCGGCTGTTTACGTCTTCATTAGACTCTGAGCATAAAACAAAGGTGGAAAGCCATCTGACTCTGACCCCCACACTGAGAAAGATCATGTTTTATTCACACAATTAAAGTGAATCAGTTTCCAACAAGTGCTCGTCCAGTCTGTTGTAACACAGAAGAATTCAACTTTAGAGACTTAAAGGCAAATTCCATACATGAACAATAAAAAAGGAAGCCCCAGAGTTAAACTGAAAACAGGATTAGAAGCTGCTGTCACTCTCAAACTGATTCCCTGGTCTTAATACAGAAAGTCATGTTCAGTAATAACTCAGTTTGAGTTGTTCAACTTCTCTGATGACGTCCTCAGTAACAGGAGAAGATGGTGATGATGGAGCTGCAGCTGATTCACTCTGTGGCTCTCAGACTAAAGGCTACTTCACTTATCAACAAGCTAACTACTATAATAGGATCTGTTGGCAGAAATAATATGTGTAATATGTGCCTGACTCATTAGTGTATAATAGTGCCTTAAGTATAATTCATGTGTGCATCAAATTCTGTTTTCAATTCAGTCTCAATACTCAAAATAAGACTTCAACACTCTTTAAACTTTAAGAAAAAAATATTTTTTTCTCCTTTTTCATTTGCAGAAATCCTTTTTATTTTGAAAAATCAAGAAGTTTGCAGAAGCAGAATTTACTGGTGCAAGTTATAGGAAGATATTAAAGGATCAGGTGAATAAAAAGTATTTAATGTCTGTCAGATATTTACAGCAAGTTTAAAGTGTTTATATAAACTCAGCAGTGACAGAATTTCACAGTCAGCTTGTAAAGTGACTGCATCACTTCACTGTGTTGCAGCGCCCTCTACAGGGAAGAAACTGAAAATTAAAGATCAACTTTAAGTTCTTACCATCAGCACAAAAGTTAGTGTTTTTCAGTGATTCCATATAAAATGTTTAAAAAGTTACAAACATTAAAGAGACAAAAGACTTAAATTAGTGCACAAGTTAAAATATATGAATAAAACAAAATACATATAAAACAGAATACTTTAGTGAACAGTAGTGATTAAATGAATTTACTGTATATATACAATAATAATGTAGGAAATGTATGAGCTTAAATGAATATACACATTGTCAAGCAGTTCTAGTTGATGTTGCTGAGAGCTGCTTGCCACAGTTTTGTACATCGCACTGACCAGAATATATTAACCATCTCACATGAGTTTCTGAGGATTTGCTCACATTAATCCAGTACTTCTCAAATAGTGGGGGGGCAGTGAGGTGTCTCAACAGTGAGAGGCAGGGGGACTGACGGAGGAGGAGAGATGGAGAAGTTTCTGACAGGAGTGAAAAGAAAAACGGAGGAGACGTCAGAGGAAAGAACAGCAAGTGACGGTAACCGGCATAAACCTAATAAGAGCAGGAAATACGATGAAGCCTACACAGCCTTTGGGTTTACCGTGAATACGGTCGGAAATGAGGAAAGACCTGTGTGTGTTTAATGCCTAAAAACTCTGACAGCGGACAGCATGAAAGCAAACACCTGGAGACCTTACACCCCAGTTATGTCAATAAGCCACTGGACTTTTTTCATAGAAAACTCGATGAGTATCTCCAACAGGCATCAGTAAATAAAAAAGCACCGTTAGCCTCGTACAAACACCGCCACATCGCAAGGGGCCAAAAAGCTCACAGGATAGCAGAGGAGCTAATACTCCGGCAGCATTGGACATGGTCACAATCATAGGTGAGAAAAGTGCTGAGACACTGAAACCTGTCCCTCTGTCCAATGACACGATCGGGAGACGTTTATTTGACATTTCACACGACCTCCAAGAACAACTCACAGAACATCTAACAGACAAACATTAAATAGAAACAATATTGTTGCACAAAAAAAACAAACATTAAAAAGTCATCTACCTTTTTGAAAAGGAATAAGCTGATGAAGCTGACAAGTGACCAATGTTTACAGTTTAAAACAGTTTTGAATGTTACCAAGTTAAGTCCAAATGTTCCAGCGGTATGAAGAACTTCGGGCTTGTCTGTGTGTATATATATATTATTAAATGACTTTGTGAAAGCCACTTCCCTTCCCTTTCTACATATGGACCACCAGGACTCAATGCGCTGGTTAATCGTGGATGAGCCATACATGTGGCTGCACGCTCCAGAGTGGTAGTCATGGTGATGGCTTTCTGCGGTACAACCCTGTGTTTACTTTTTAGAGTCCGCAAGCTGATGTTTATATTGTGTAAACTTGACAGCATGTCCATGATTGCATCGTACGAGTGTCCCTCATTCAAATATTGTGTGCAATAATGCAGCATGTCTGGTCCTTCCGTCTGCTCCGTATCCTTTAAAGACTCCAGAGACCGTCCACACCAAACACAAAACCCTATCAGCCACCGTAGTGTTGCCATATGGTAACAATGACTGTTTCTCACTTTTACTCACCGGTACTTTAGTTTTATTGTGAAAAGAGGCTCTTTTACTTTGAAAGTATAAATACACATCACATCATGTGACCATGAAATCCTGTTTGTCATTCCTTTTTCCATGGACAAGTGACACTGAGAATATCTGAGGGCCCCAAAAGTTAACCAACTGTTCAATATTTCTGCAAAATTCATTCAAGAGAAAAATTCAAATACTATCTGGAGAAAGTTAACTTTTAATTCTCATCATTAAAAATCAGTTTAGATGTGGTTGGCTTTTTGTAAAATGGTAACATGTAGTTACTATGTTTTTAGGAAAAAACAAATAAATAAATATATCAAATATTTCCATTATTTAAACCATTTTAAGTAATAAAAACGAATTAAAACATTTCCATCATGTTTAAGTAATAATTAATGCAGTAGAGGGTTAATACAACAGTTTTAATGTCAGGTCTAAGTGGGGGATTTTTTTAATATCATCAACATAAATATCAAGTTCAGCTGTGAAACAGGAAGCTTTGACATTTTATTTTCTCCTCATATTTCCCATGAAGGAGTTTTAATGTTGGT